GGGGAAATTGATCTCAAATACAATTAATCGCCGAACGAAAATAAGTTCAAATATTTGTCATCCATTGAAAGATTACGTTCCTTAGAACATCTGTGTGAAATATTTTTTATCTTATGGTAGTACAACTAAAACATAAATTTAAAAAAAAAATTAGGAGATTCCCTCTGTTATATGGTAGATTTTGAGTGTATCTTTACCCTGGTCACTGGGGTGTTTAATACAAATTCAATTATAAACCAGTAAAGTATAACAAATAATTATATGTTTATAAACGAAAAACATATTATACAGTGTGTCCGCAAAAACAGAGTAGATACACTTAATAATTAAATATTTTCTATATTACTCAGTACTCTATACATAATTATGAATTCTGCTTGCAGGACATGAAACTAGACTATTGAATCATCAATCTCTTGCAGACCTAATTCTAAAATACGTTTAGGGTATTGAGTAATATAGGTAACTGAGTAATATAGTGTACCAAGTATTCATGAATTAACTATATATTGTATATGGTTTTAATTGAAAGATACTGTTATAGAATACCACACTGCATTTTAAGATGTATATTTATAAATATAAAATTTAAAAATAAAATAATTATTTGTAAATAGTTTAAAGATATAGACCAAAAAAGGCTTAAACCAAAAACAGACATACTTATTAAAATATTGTAAGCACATAATATTTCTACATAAAATACAATTACCTCACCAATGATACTATATTCATCATGACCACATACTTCTAAAATGTCATGAACTGACTTTTCCCATTTCAAATTTTGTTGATCCAAGTGGAGACGTTTTTGGATTTCCATATACAATTTCTCAGCTCTTCCTGATTTGAATATAGTCTTACTACAGTCTGCAATGTTTAGCATCAACTATAAAATGTGATAAATATGTCAATAGTTATACCTATAAGTAGATAGGTGAAATTATGATTTAAAAAAAAATTATATTATTTTTTTTTACTGCGTAAAAATATTTGTACTAAAATTATTATTAGGTATATATTAAACCTTTAACATTAACAATTAAATAAATTAGTGTTACGTAAACCAATTTATACTATTTAAACTACATTAATGTATTTGTTAACTATTTCACTACGCCAGATGCACTTTTGCATCCAAAACATTTACACCATTCACTCCTCCAGGCGTAATACATACCTATGACATTCATTCAATGTATTTTATATTTTTATAATATTATAATCATTTGCTGATAACCATACATTTAAGGAAACCCTGGATCACATTATTTTAAACCTAAATAATTAAATCATATATATCTCAAAATAAAAATAACACTCCTAACTTTACTTACACTATAGATTCAATTTAGAGATTACTTACATTCCATAAGGGTGTTCATTAAGAAGACAATTGTTTGTAGCATGGAGTTATACTTCTTTTCTTAATTTTGTCGTCTCATGACAAGCCAAGAAAACAGGTTGTGATAAAGTCTATAACCTGCCCAACATAACATAATTAAAATTAAAATTAAATGATTCTTGTAAAAATAATATTAATATTGTAGACTGGTTTAAAGTGAAAGTAATCCAAAGGAAGGCAAAGGAAAGAAAATATTGATGTAATCATCTTTAAATGGTACCAATAAAAATATTTTGGTAAAATATAATTTGAATACTTTACCTTCGATAAATTCCAATTATAATATAAAAACTGTGGATACTACTTGTGAAAAAAACAGTAGTACGTAAAAAAAGAAAAAAATTAAGCGTGTAAACAGGTAGAAGCGAGCGACAAACAAACAAAGACGACAAACGAACGGGTTCACATTTCACGTGAATGTCACATTTATTCGTCCTTGTCGTGAACGAGTACGATATAGGTTAATAATCGGTACATTTTAAAACAACCAAGGTAAGTATATTGTATACAAATCCACGATATCAACGATTATCATTGAACGATTCGAAAAAAATGACTATCGACGAATTTTCCCGTTTTTTTAATCCGAGATTCGGATTTCCACATGAGCACGACTAATGCTTTGTATGGGTCAAACAATGACTAAATAAACTAAATATTTAGTTATGGGTCAGACATTGGCCTATGATCCAATGCATTTTTCAAGGCGGTCAACACTCAACAGATACGTCAATACGTCATATTAATATCATACACAATCACACAGACATATAATGCAACAAGATAGCCGACTCGATCATAACATTGAAGCAAGGCCGCCATAAATCATAATACGCGACGCTGACAATGTTTACACAATACACCTTATCACAGAAAATATTCATATCATAATTCATAACAACCACAAACCATAGACATAAAATTATAGGTCTATGCCACAAACATTACAAAATGTACACTACAACTACTGTATCTCTGTGGGTCAAACCTAGTCGCCGAAACAGCCGTGGAACTACACTTCGACCATAAAAAATAATATAAATATCAATAATATCAATGATATTAGCTTATAATGATTATATGGTCGGAGGAACTACAGACCCTTGTCAGACTGACGCCTTTCGGCGCCTTGCCGGTGTTTTTGCGGTAACTCAACAATCCAAAACCATAGAACAATAACGTACAACGTACTTCTATCCATGGTAGAAATAACGCGGTATCACGACAACCACGGCACGCGATGTCTGATATAAGAGATTTCTTGAACCGTGATAGCAACGAACTGAATAGTCGAATAGTGAATACTGAATACCCTTCGGGAGTCGTGCGGGTCGTTGTATAAGTTCGGTCCTATGTTCGCGGCAGCACACTGGTGACTGGTCGTTCGAGAAACACTAAACAGTCGCCTAGCCACGGGCCAAGAAGGCCAAAAGTTATTTCAGCTTAGACTAGCTCATGATTATGAAGAATAACAATCGATCATGATCGCGGACCGTCTTGATCCGTGGTCGTAGCTTTGCCACCAAACTCTGTACATGTCTTTGTTTTAAGTTTGCAAGAGGTTTTCTAAATAATCTTAGGCCAACCACCGTATTGTAGGAGCAAGGTGATACAAGCAGTAAGTACTTTGTATGTTGTAATATGTATCTCTTTTCAACAGTTAAAAGTATAGGACTATGAAAATACATATAGAATACCTAACAGCTGACAAAATGTGTTATATTGTGTTGGCAAAAAAAAAAAATTATTTAAGCGAGAGTTTGGTATAATTATCTATTTTATCTTCATATTTACTGGTTAAACGCAGTCTTACATATTATCTAATCCCCATTTAACAATTATGTACACTATAATAACTTAATCAGAACAAGTCAACAACATACTTCTTCATATCTCTTTATTATATTATAAAAAAGTTATATTTTGTTTTGTATTTTCATTATTCTATGGTTTGCTATTTCAACTAAAAGACAATTAGAATTCATTTTTACCATTTTTTATATTAATTTACTTTTGATACAAGTGCCAGTTATGAGTTGAAAATGGTGGTGCGAGCTTGTAGCATTTATGGTTATCTTTCAAAATATTTTTAATAAAACATTTTTTTTTGGTTTAGTTTGATTACTTTCAATCAAGGCTGATACTTAATATGTACTTATTATCCATAATTTCAGTTTTTAATTTTTTGTGACAAAGTGTTTGTACACCATTCAACGCATTTTACCATAAATACGGTCTACAATACCTCCCACCTTCAAATGACTCGGTTTTGACTTAAAAGGTACATAATTTTTATGGTTTATGTTCACAGTAACCAAGGAAGACATAATTCAGTATGGAACCATTTAGTAAATCTGTTAATGATTCTGCAATAATTTCCAAGTAAACAAAATAAAAACACTTTTAAGTAGCAAAACATTACAAATTATAAATTTTTAACTTACATTTTATTTTATAAGACTAGGTGTTTTATAATGCATTTATTTATGTAATTGAATAACAAATAATTATTTTTTGCAATTTCTTTTAGGAATGACAATATTACTATATTGCAAGTATATTACAATAGTACACAGTTCTAGAATGTTGATGATTCCACATATTGGAAATGATGATCAATTATTTAATGATAATATTGAAGACAAAATTGCTGATGAAACAGCCTCTAATAATTATAACCAATTACTACAAAAAGGTATGAATTACTATTTTTATTTTTACATTTTTTTTAACATGTCTTTTAACCTATAAAGCTTATAAGCCTTATAAAAATGATTAAATAAAAAAATTTGGCTAGTGGGTCCCGATCTGCTATACATGGTGTCACGTGGGTTACTGTGATGAATGTGTTAAATTTGAATTCAATGATATAAAATCTCTCTTGGTCAACAATTTTAGAATATGGTTCAGTAATTTAGATCCCTTATCAATCTAATTTAATTAATACAATTTGAACTTATTCAAAACTAACTTTCATGTGTATAAGCATCTCAAACAAACAAATTAAGTACATCTCTCAAGCAGGCCCGTGCGCAGGATTTCAGAATGGGGGGTGTTTTGAAAAAAAAATTTATAACA